AGAAAAGTGAGACGTAGGTGGGATGATAGTAGATATACACAAATTGAAATCTTTGCTTTGTTCTACTCCAGGTCTCTCTTTGTTGCTGCTGTGAGGACAATGTAACGGTGATCAAATGAATCGTGTTTAAGGATATATTAGATTAATGTACAGTATGTAAGGGTGTATGGACATACTGTATGTTAGATACGTTATTAATACTGAATGTTATACTGATTAATGTACAGTATGTAAGGGTGTATAAAGCGTAAAAAGGTGTAGCTTCCAAGTCAAAATTCCAGTCAAAAGACTGGTCCTACTAGATTAAAATTTAACTTCAGGGTGCATTCACAACCAGCACACTAACTCTGTCCATGTTGAACCATACGTTTCCTACTCATTTATTAGGCACCACAGCAAAAAGTCGATACATCCATGAAGGTGACTTAATTCCTTCTTTAACTATCGTGTTCAAAAAAATCCTCCACTTAATCTGTATGCAACCTGGCAAAATGGAAGGCTTTTCTGTGCATGAGCATAACTAGCCTTAAACCATTTATTTAAAAAAAAGTTTATTTGTTCACATAAATAACAAGCCAGAAGTTGCTTAAAAAACTAGTAGATGCAAAGCCAGTTCTTGTCTTAATGCATTTCCTAATTTGATCTCTTGGCAACCGTTGTTTCTTTGCTTACGGGTTCAATCATAGCAGTGATTCTAATGTGTAATCAGGATTTTGTGATTTGTGCTAAAAGTGGATAAAATCAATGTAAGGTCAGGGCTTAATAAGAAGTCATGTAGTAATGACTGTAATTAAATAGGAGAATAGTGCTTTAAAGAATGAGTAAAAAGCACAGTTTTTTTTAAAAACTTATAACAGTAATGTCTCTGCTCAATTCAAGTGTCGTCGTCAGCCATTAGAATGTCAAAGTGAGTCAGAACAAATAACAATGGGACCTCGGACTTGATACAGCTAAATGGAACACAGCCTTCAAGAAAATCTTTATCTGCACTTGTACTTTTCTGAAATGACATACAAATGTGGCCTAGAGCCACAGTGTGGTAAAAATTTCAGGGATTTTTTTTCTATTTAACTTTTCTTTAGCGTGCATTCTTAATTTTTGATCCTCTATGCAGATGATGAGAATAACTGGGGCTTTGAATAGCTGCCTACACAATTAACAGCTCACCACACATTCACAGATGTGAAGGTTCCAGAAAGCCTGAGGTCAGTTATGGATTTAATGTTGGTCTTTAATCACAGCACAACTCTGGCAGTAGCCAAACTCTGGACTAATCTGATTGCAATGATGCTGCTAGCAAACAAAACATTAATGATTAAGTGTTGCAATTTCATTTGGTCCATGTATATATAAATATACTATAAACATCCCCAAAATGACTTCAGAGCACAAAGGCATAGCAGTTCTTCAGTTCAGTAGAACCCACTGCTCATTTCCTTAGAAAAGTGGTGAAGTCGTGCAGGAAATGGGATTTTGCCGACTTTCCGATGTCTTATGATGCACCTCTATACTTTGACAGGTGCTGGCTTTCACACCTTACATGAATAACAGCCTGGATGGTCTCTTTTCTTTTTGGCACAAGGAACTCATGGAACATCAAAAAGAGCACAAAACATGTTTTCATGGTCTTGCAGTTTACACTAGATGAACTCAAGCTCTAAAAACTGCACATTTCTAGAGCAAACTGATGTATGGCTCAAGATTTACATTATGCATTTACAGGAAGTACTTTTTGATGAAGCAGCAGACTACGTTACGTGACAATGATTACCTTAAGAGCCCATGCTGTTATATATATTAGAGTAACAAAGCATTGTTTTAATACTCTAAATCAAACCACTTTAAGCATTTTTTCCCCGCCTGGACCTTATTCAAAGTCATTACCTACCACTGAATCTTTCACTCTTTTAACTGCTGATGGTGACGGTCTTATTTCCTCTTTACTCTGAGCCTCATCTGAGGTCTTTCTGCACACCACCGTGGAATCAGTGAGAAGACAGACTGAAGTATTTAGTCAGCCATTTCATAGTTGAATTCATGTGCTTCATACACACCACGTGTATGTTGTAACAACATCTAAAAACAAAAAAGGGTTCGGCAAACCTGTGGTTCTGGGGCTGCATGTGGCTCCTTCCGCCCTCTCCTGCAGCTCACTGTGGTTTTGAAAAATAAATATTAAATACCTTATTTAATTTTTTTTGGCCCAGAGTTCAAAGTTCAAATCCCGGTTAGGGCGGTTGGTACCTTCCAGTGGACTCACCACCCGCAGGAAATGTTAGGTACGGTGCAATGTGATTTGGGTGGCGACTGCTGCCCCCGCGACCCGGTAACGGATAAGCGGATGAAAATGGATGGATGGATGGATGGATATTTTTTAGGTGCTGTTGTATCATTAAATGTAAACCTGTTTTATTTTATTTTTGTCCTCTCTAAATACACGTCACAGTGGTCAATGTGTGACACGTCTGTGTGCAACTTTTCAACCCCATGGAACGCCATCCTCAACACTAAAAAGGGAATAAAAAGAAATGTATTTGGAGTCGTGATTATCTTTGGATTCACATTTATATGTGTGCAAGTCACATCCAACATGAAACAAATATTTTAAAAAAATCAAGACGTCAAAAAGGTTCTGTGGCTCCCAGTGTTTTTGTTTCAGTCCAAATGACTGTTAGAATGTCTGAGGTTGCCGACCCCCGATCACAAACATACAGTATCATTGAGCGCCCAAGATAACGAAACTGTTTTCAGTTTAATGGCTACACGTGTATTCTTTGTTCAGACTATTGCAAAGTCCTATTAATTTTCCAATAAAGAATTTAGCTGGCGTAAAGCAGGAGAGAACTGACATGCAGTGTGTGCGCAGCATGAATACATAGACACAATAGGTGTTATTTATTTTACCTACCCTCCGTTATAATCACCCAACCCCCACCCTCCCTGAGAACCACTGTGGGAGGGGTGTTCAAAGCCCTTGCTCTGGTCTATATTCAAATGAGCACTCACTCTTCCCTCTGTGCTCCCGTAGCGATCAGCACTTTGATCACCTCCAACGGTAACTTCCACCCAAACATTTAAAATTAAAATCAAACTGCTTTAACAACCTGAGCATTAGAATTTAACAGGTGTTCGGGAGGAAAGATGTAATAGAATTTGTGATTATGCACTTGGAAACGCACGCCTTTACGCGAACGTGCAGCCATGCAGACATACGCAAACACATGCAAACACTCATACATAAAACCTGTCAGGTGAAGTGAGAGTGGGAAACAGAGCGCTCTCCTGACTGGTATACCTTGGGATACTTGAGATGGATACTTTGATGTGAAAGAAAGTTTAAGGTGGAAGTACAAATCAGCCAGGCAGCAGCTACATGTGTTAGGTAAACAAAGGACGCTGTCGACTCCTACAGCCAACTTTACACTGTGTGAGGTTGGTTTTTTTCATATTCCAAAAGTGAAAAAAAAAACCAACATAATGTTCTGTACATATGAACATATACACATACATGGGCACGTTGGCCTATGCAGACACATGTACACATACACACGAGCTTGCATGTGTGCAGACGAACACAGGCATGCTCTCTCTCTCACACACACACACACACACACACACAGACACACATATTCTCTCAATGTAGTATTAATTACTGAGGGAACACTGCAGAACTGTATTTAATTACTGACTAAATGATGCATTTATACATCAGCGCTGGTTAAATTAACGGGGTTAAGTGAGACAGGGCGATTGCAACACACTTAACATATGTGTTGATAACTTTTTCCTTGCATAATCCGGGGACAGCAGAGGCAGGAAATACCAAACGATTAAATTAAGCCGTTACAGTTACGGAAATAAGAGGAAAATGTCAAATAAATAAATAAAATAATGTATCTGCAGCAGGACAAAGAAAAGGACAAAGACAGCCATAGTACTCAGAGGGTACTTGGAAATTTAGGACAAAACTGCTATACTGGTTTTGGTAGTACCTCAGTTCAAGTCAACTTAAGATGAGACTAAATCTGACTGTTAAAACCAGTTAACATGTGGGATGCTCTACGTCCAAATACTGTTGGTTGGTCTTAGGTCGTCTAGGAGTCTGGTAATGGTGAACATCACTACAGGGGGTCAACGGTTTACAACCTTGTCGATCTATGACTGGATTTTTCTGGATACATTTCTCTCTCTCATAAATGTATTAAGAAAGTCTTGTTCCATCATTCCAACGTAGAGCGTTTTTTATTACAGACCACACTCCAATGCTGATCTAATTAGGCTGCAGAAGACTGTTGGAGTTCATACCTGAAAATATCCTCCACTAGTTCTTTGACACGCTGTGGTCCAAAACTCAACCATTACCATGTTGTTAGAGGTTATTAAAAGGGCACTTTAGCTGTGACTGCACCATTAAATTTGTACCACAAACCAAAGGTCCAAGGGGTGACACTTCCAAGGTAATGAGCTAAAGCACCTCCTCAAAACTCCCACAGACTGAGAGATGAAAACTATAACTCAAACAGCATCTTTAAGAACTTCACTGACTCCCAATCACCTCCCCTCAACTCATTTCTGCCATGACTGTAGTGCATTAAAAGGACTTCCAGGTACTTGGGTTAGAGGAGAAAGGAGAGATAAACTAAGAAAGTCTGTGCGTTAATGTGTGCCTGGGACTGTAAACGAGAGGAGATCAGACAGCTGACATGAAAGACTACAGCTGAGGTGGATGGGAAGATCAAGGGTGAGCTAGAGCGATATCAAGAGAGTGATTTTCAGTTAAAGAGCACCACCACAGGCAATGGTGAGGCCTCACCAGCTGTTGCTGAGCTTACTAATCCATCGGATTTTTTGAAGTTTCTACAGTACAGGAAAATTAGAGATCAACTCCAGGCAGGTGATTGACATACACCTATGTGTGTGTGTGCGTTATGTCAGAGGTAAAGGAAAAGAAATGCACTAATAATTTGGGAGTGGACCGTAAAAAGTAACAGGATGCTTACTTTCAAGTTGGTTTGTCTATTTCTTGATGAACATCGGGTTGTTTCCTGCACCGGTTGCTCCTTTTGCTCCTGCTGTGTCTGTTGAAGCTGGGCCTGGAGTTGAAGAATGTGTTGGTCCCTTTCTGCCAGCTGGACACCCAGTTCCTGATGTCTCTGACGGAGGCTGGCCTCACTAGAAATGAGGGACTGGTAGCACTGGCTCAACTCGGTGTACAGCTGACAGTAAAACAGTGCAATAAAGTGTGAGGGTAAATAAGAGGTAAGTTTGTTGCTTAGAAGGCAGTAAATGGTGATCAAATATACAGAAAACTCTTTTTTCATAGAGGTCCCTACATGAAAAAGAATGTGTGTCAACGAAAAGGAGCCAAAACATAAAGTAAATAAAACAAATGTTGACTGCCATGTCCACTTTCTTAAAGGCAGCTTAAGAGTCATGTGACAGAAACCAGGATATAATGAGAAAATAAGTTTCACTAAAGTCAACGGTCATGTAGTTATTGATAGCAGGTACAATGTGTCCATCTGTATGTGCCAGTACCTTCTGATAGGAAGTGGTGTCAGCGGTATGTGCCTCCTCCGTGTTCCTCAGGACTCTCTGTGTGTCCAGGTTAAGTCCTTCCAGTTGCCTGATCAGTTGACTCTGTTCTGCTGCGTGCTCAGTGCTCTGCTTGTAGAGCTTCTGCACTTCTGCAAACTCATGACTGCATGCAAACACATCATAAAAATGAGACTGCATGTGAATCTAACAAAAAAGAAAATGTATCAGAACATTTTAAAGCGTAAACAGGGTTAAATCCATGTCCAAACAGTAAACACAGCATAAAAAAACTAAATATAATAATATAAAAATGATAGCTGTACATACATAAAATCCTTCAAATAAAGTAACATTCAGTAAATCTGATTTAGAATCTGGTTCATTTCTGTTTTGTGTTTCATTGAACGATGGAAGACCAAAACCTTGAGAAAGCTTTTCCAGACCCTGCGTGACTGACATGTTAGAGGGCTTCTGGCATTAAAATGGAAACGTAGTTAAAAAGGTTGAGATTACCACTAAGGCTGCTGAGGTTCTTACTGTTTTCATATCGACTAAAGCTTAGTCAAAGCCCTCTGTTTCCTTTTCCTCCCTTCTTTCAAAGTACATCCACAATGCACGGCTTATCAAATGGCTTTGTGTGAGCCGCAGTGAAAAAAAACTGTCACCATCACGCCTCAAGTGGTGATGCAATGGAGCAGTTGCAGTTGTCGTACAGGTAATGTATTTATCTCCATCAACATCCATCACCAGGACAAAGTAAAAAAAAAACTTTTAGTATTTACATGATGCTAAAATGTTAAAGCTCACCCCAGTTGAGTGAGCCGTCTCTCTGCTGTTGCCACCTCCTTCTCTTTGGAAGAAAGTTGACCTTCCAGACTACTACTGTATCTCTGCAGGTTAAACAGCTCCACTCCAGCTTTACGTAGCTCCTCCTCCAGCTCCTGGAAAAACAAATATCTGATTTGGTAAAAAGTTGTTGGAGTTAAACTATATAATGCTTAAAATATAAATGCTTAATTAAGCTGTACTTGGATGATTGGTTATGTGAGGATGTTGGTTGATTACCTTGACACCTTAAAGGCCGAAAATTTAATAAAATAACATTAAAATCATATTTTTGTCTAACATTATTATTTGATGTTCATTGTGTTTATATTTTTAGACAATATTTTGCCTTTGGAGTCTATTCATAGGCTGGATTGGATAGCTTGGTGGGCCACCAGTTGGTAATCACGGGGTCATTAGTAAATGAGACACTTCATTCATTTCATTTCACATAGAGCGTCTTAAGTTTAAAACTTCAATTAACACAAACTTGTACTACACTCCAAGCACTGTCAAAACACTAAGAAGTACATGGCAGCACCGTGTGTGAAGAGACGAGCTGCAGACACTGACATGAGGCTGCAGCTGTTTCTGCCACTGCAGTATGTAGTAGGTGTAAACAAGGTGTTTGACAGCTTTTGACTAATAAGACGAAGGCGTTCTTACAGGGCAAATAGTTTGGGATCCAAATTAAGTCCCCATGCCAAAGCATTTTACGTTTAATTAAAAGCAGTGTTTTAACAGGATTAGAATTTACCATGAAATTGTTATTAGGCGAGAGTAATGTGCTCTAACACTGCATAAAACAACAATTATGTTTGTTCTGGAGAAGAAAATTAAATCAAACAAACCACAAAATATTTAAGTTTTGATTACCATTCAGCTTGGACGCATTTGGTTATTATTTTAAGCAACAAAGCAATTACTTACTAAGAAGCTCATCACATTAGTTTATGATATATTACCTGTAGGGTCTTTACACTGTCAGGTATTTTTTCCTCATTAACGGGATCCTGATCTTAAACAAATAATTGTGCAGTGTTTTTCAACTTTAGGGTTAAATTTAAATAGGGTTACCTAGTAATTTATGAAACAAATGACTGATAAAATATTGTGAGGACAGCCTCGCAAAACAGTACATTTACAATAAAATGTGACTTTGTGAACAAATCTTGTGACTCTGTATTTACAATACGGTATAACAAACTAAAACTAGACAAAGTACTAGGTGCTAAGCCAAAAAAAGGTTGGGAACCACTGTAATAATGAATCCTAACTTTCCCATTAACATTTAATTTGCTGTATTTTATGATTCACTCCATGATATATCCTTGTTGTATCAAACAAATTAACAAGGGGTTCCAGTTCAGACCTTACTTTTCGATCTCCATCTTTCAAATAATTGTAGAATACTAAAAATTAGAAACAGGTGGGGTGTCTTTGATGAACGTGCAGACGGCAGGAGTTGCTCGTCTACCCTGAGTTAGTGTCTGGACTTCCACAACACTTGCTCTTTGGTTACATTTGACTTGGCAAGCAATTTGTTGTATCATTAGTGCATAAGCACAGACAGAGTGTGAGTTGCTCATGAAAGTCCAGCATCCTGAGACTGGGGTAGTGAATGGAGGATAAACAGCAGAAGGACAGTTAGCAGACTGATTTTATTTATACTAATGTTGGAAACATCATGCTTGTTAGCAAGTACTTCTCAATGGCTAATCACTAACTGCCCATGTGGGTTAAACCGTCTTGTTTAAGTAATACAAATATCAGTAGTATTGTACAGATTGTCGTTCTCCTTCCATTAGTAAAGACTTTCTTACCACAAATATACCATTTTATACACATATTCAGGTCACAAATGATCAAAGTGGGCAGAAAAACAAAAGATGGCCTTTTCACAAATGATCAAAGTGGGCAGAAAAAAGATGGCCTTCAACTTTGTGTTTAGTTGTTACATAATGGACATGTTTTCCTTTGTCCATACCTTGACTTTAAGCTGTGCAGAATCCTTCTGGTCTCTTTGGCTTTTGGCCTGTCTCTCGTTCTCCCCTAGGTCAGCTTGCAGGGTGGCACAGCGGGAGGTTAATCCCTCTATTTCCTTCCTCATAGCCTGCAATGCCTGTCGCTCATCCTCTTCTTTCTTCCTACACTCCTGGATTGGGAAGGTGTGTGTGTATAAAGAGAACAATGACAGGTCATGAGGGCCATAAAACAACAGTGATCAAAAAGAGAGAAACAGAGAAACCTGCGACTCAAGCTGAGAAAATAATAAAAAAGAAAGCGTGAAGCAAAAAAGTGAAGCAACCAACGGGGCCGAGGCTGAAATGAATACGTAAACAGTGAATCTGCTGTGCTGCAGGAAACCCCTGCTTGGATTGTTGATTGGCAAGGTCACCGGTTCTGTACGACAGGGCCCATGTGGCCTGATGTTGGTTCATTTGGACAGAGGTGTGCTGCGAGAGCCGGACTCATGCAGATACACGGGCCAGTCTGTCGACTCTAATGACAAGCCTCTAATGAGAATGCTGGTTGCTAGAGGACCCATTACACCGAGGGCAAGTCTTCTTTGATGCTGTCCCCCACGATTTCTCGCCATGAAACCTCACCAAAACTGTATAAGGAACTGTATAAGGACCCTTCCTTTATCAATTAATCATAGCTCGGTCCCAACTAAGCATAATTAGGGATAAGGCACACCATCACATGCAACCTCCCTCCACTGAAGTGGTCATTAAGTATTTATCTTAACCTAACTTACAAGCTTGCACTTCCATCTCCTTCTTTTCTTTTCTTACACACTTTCTTACTGTGAAGTATTTTTGAGAGTCGGGATAAAAAAAAAAAGAAATACAGGGAGGTTGAAAAGCAAAAGGAAAAAAAGGCCTATGCTATTGTCCTGACTATGGTTTTGCGTTCAGCGCTACAGAAACAAGCTCTTCTAAATCTGATTAAGAGTACCTCAGAGTATATGCTGCACAAACCATAAGTTGATGATCCTTCTCTGCCAGTTGCACACGCAGAGCTGTCAGGTCCTGCATTGTTGAACTGTCCTCACTTACTGCCATCTTCTTTTGCAGAAAGCTGTTTATCTCTTCCTGCTGCTGTTTCATTCTCTGTTTAAAAAGAAAAAAAAAATACACAGTGGCAGATTACATTATGTCATAACCTTTAAAGTTTTAATTTAGATTTTAAGCTAAAATAAATAAATAAATAAATAATAATAATAGAGAACCAACATAGAAAAGCATATTAAAATAATCTCCAGAAAAAGTGCTTGGTTCCTAGGTACAAATAAAATGTGTGAGTAAAATAAAACCTGTCCTATTGTAAAACACTTTTTTCATAACAAAGAGACAAAACAAAGTACAAAAATAAAACCTGTCCTATTGTAAAACAATTTTTTCATAACAACTAAGAGACAAAACAAAGTACGTGTGTTTTTACAAACTAACAGATTTAATTTGTTCAGCAAAACATGATTATCATCCATCAGTAATTGCTTAAACGCAACCTTTACAGGATATGTCTTAAAGGCATTGTTGGTGTCATTTTTGTCGTTAGACGTAAATGTACTTTGCCAAAGAAATTTTATTTTAGATTAAGATTTTATGAAAGAGTATTAACATATTTTAATGGAAACAATGAATGTATTTCTTGCAAATACTACAACAATACAGTACATACCCAGTTATCTGATTTAAAGATGACTACATTTCTTTGAGAAGATAACAGTATTTTAATGACTATTATTTTCAATGTCAGTAAACACTGATTTTGTGTTCTTGGCAGTCTTGTGGTCACAGGAGCAGAGAACTGGCCTCCTAACACGGTGTGAGCTGGGCTTGGGCATTGGCCGGTAATCCACAGCCTTCTGTGGGTCCACCCTTCTTCCAAATAGCACTGTGCTACGGGAGGCAGTTAATTGCCGTGTTCAGGAAAATCACTCAAATATATCTAGATAGTGGATTTAGCTTTCCTCGCCTCCTCTTGCTGGTTGTGCTAAGACCAAAGGGGCTTTAATAGAGATTTATCCGGGAGAGCAGACAATAAATTCAAACTTTGATAATGAGGTGGGCAAGAACAACGTTAAATCCACTTAAGCTAAATAGATAGGAAAAGAAAAAAGGGGGTTATGGCAAGTAAAAATGTCTAGGAGATAAAGATTAGCATTGAATTTTTTAAAATGAAAGCTAATTATGTCACAGAAATGAAGAGAAGCAGCCAGGGAAATGTACAGACATTTTACAGACATAATGATGGAGTGGGAATCCAGTGTGGACTAAGCAGCAGAAGCTTAATTATTTTTGCTCGAAACACAAATGATATGATTATGACATATACACGCTGCAGCTGCAGTGAATGTGTGTGTGTGTGGGGGGGGCATTTTATAATTTATCTGGGGGGGGTCCTTTAAAATGTCATTTTATAATTTATCACATTGTTTTTTGCCTGGAGAAGTTGCACTGGGGGAAAAAATGTATGTGGACAGCAGTACGGTGTGCAGTCTGAGGGACTGATGGGTTTTGGGTTACAACATGAGTGAAGCTAAATCTCAATGGACCATAATTAATGCATACTCATTCACAATAATTGGCAAGCGCAGGGGTCAGGGAAATGGGAAAAGGTGGCGTAAAGGTGCAAAACAGAAATGAAGGCCAGAGGACAGAATATGCAGTACATGTATATAAATCAAAATATTGATAAAGGATGAACAAAGAAACTGTAAGGAACAGACCTACAAATGTAATGGGAACTTTAAAGAGGAGGCAAGGTGTTGAATGACTGAAGGTATTAGCCTAACAGCAGTGAGACCTGCTGTGATGTAGTTGTGTTGTGTAAAAGACTAGAGGCTGAGTTGGAATTGTTGATATGTTTTTTATATTATGTTATTGACATAACTGATACAGTTTTCCTGTACTGTAGCAGTATGTATTTAGTGGAAATAATAAAAAAAGTTAAATTTTGTCCAAAACCAAATATATGTTGTACATGATGTGTATGATAATATGGTCGCATTAGTTATAGCCATCCTGCCAACTGCAGCAGTCCTATTTACGCTGCAATGACAGGGAGATGTGTATTTAAGTCAGCTGCTGTATCAATAACATGATGGTCGCAAATCAAAACTGACACAAGGAGATTCAAAGAACACATTACAGGAGGATAATTCCACAGTTCATAAGAGACCCTGCACTTATGGGGCGTTGAATAGGCAGCAGTAATAATAAGGGTGTTTGGTTTTTATTAGCCAAACAGGCACTTTGTCACATATGAGCACCTATTGCTGCTGCTGCTGTTTTGACTGGAACGTTGTTAGATGGCTGTAAAGCACAGCATGAAAAAGACAGTGGCAAGTTGATGACTACATTACAGGCAGTCTCATTAGGAATGTACATGATTCAGGATGAGCGACACTAATGAAGGGGACTGACAGATGCTTCAGTGAAGAGAAGATGATTTGAAGTAAATTACATTAGTGATGTCATTATTACCCATCATACCATCCAGAAATATTTCTCGAGGGGCGGCTCAAAGGGAGCAGCAAAAAGTGTTGAAACCTTAATCAACACGTAATGATACTTGTAAAAAGAAATCCGTACCGAGTCTGTTTTTAAGATTCTTGTGGCGTTTAAAACGAGCCCAGACTGATTTTGTAAAATCAGTGAAGTCCAAGCAAGAAACTTCTAGAAATTATTTTTTACGCTGCTGACTAATTCTAATTTTTAGAAAAAAGTTGTCCAAAACTTGTGTCAAGCCATCTCTACTTTCTATCAATACAAATACTTGATACATCCTGGACCATGCAGTACTCTACCTGCTCCAGCTCCTGTATTCTGTGGTCCTTGATCTGTAGAATCTCCAACACCTTTCGATCCTTAATCTCAGCTTTGTGTTTCTCACTAGAGGCACAAGGAAAGAAACAATATAGTGTGTTAAACCTTGGTTAAGATGAATCTCCTAATGTTAGGTCATGTTTATGAATACAATGTACATAAAATACAAAAAATATATCTTCAGTCTAGATCCATATATGGAGTCAAATCTATTGACATTTATTTATTTCAATGTGACTGAAAAAACATAAGTTGTAAAATTTAAAATAGTCACCCAAAATTTAAAAAAAAAAGTTTCTCTTATCTCCACCATAAGATGTTGATAAAACACCTACAATCACATCTGACAGTTTTCTTAAGAACTGGTAATAATAAGGAAAATGTCCATATTACTAAAATTAATTTATATAAAAAAAGAAGAAAAAAAAGAAAAAAAAGAAGTCATAACTTAAGGACCTGTTTTAACCACTCAAGGCCAAGAGGGGGCTCTACATTCTCTTCAGTCTCCACTTGTTCTTCCTACAACCCTTTTCTTTGAGTTTTTCTTTTTTTTCTCCTCTCAGGTAGATACTGAAATAAGTATCTGTTCTCCCTGGAGAAGTTGAAACACAGGCCAGCCCGGCATCATCTCCTACTATATGGGCCATGTTCCCCATGTCCTGAGCGACCAAGCAATCACTTTACAAGGTCCACAGAGGTAGGAGAGGGGGGAATAAATGGAGAGTCCCGGTAGGCACTGGTGCTAGACTTGAGTCAACATAATTACCATGTCAATATTCTTCTGTGCATCAGCTGATACAATAGAATACACGTGCACACTCTGGAAGCATGTTTCTCTAACAGTCTCAGCAGAGGAACCGGCTTTGAATGGTTTCCTAAGAGACCATAATGAACTGAAGAGGGTGTAGTGTTGGAATTGTCTGCACAGGTACACTGCACATTACCATAAAAACTGGGTGGGAAAAGAATAAAATGAAATGTAACATGGAGAAATTTTATTAATGCATTTAAATTTATCCTTGAATACTCCATCCAAAAATGTGCACTGTGGAAACATTTAACTTTTTAATTTTTACGTAAAATGCCAAAGAGTTTATACACAATCTTTGAAAAGTTTTCACAGAAGTACTTAAATTGCCTAAAATAAAAGATGTGGAGGATGATTTTTTTTTTTTTTCCATTAAGAGCACTTCTATGGTTGAACCACTAGACCGGGGATAAGAAGGCTTAAAGCAGCATCTGCACAAGATCTTGTGGTAACCCCCAGAAGAATGTCCAGGGTGCCCTAAACAACCTTTAAACCACTTTCACACATATTCCTTTGCACTTATGTGATAAAAGAGTTTTCGGTGGCTGAGCTTTTCAGGTAGCAAAATGTAATCTACTCACCGCTCAACCACCAAACTGACAGCCTGGGTCAAGTCCGGATTTGCCACTTGCAGGCGTTTCCATAGGGACCACACAAACTCTTTGTCTGCCTGTTGAAGTAAATGATACAATGAGTCAACAACTGGGTTTCTTAATTGAGATAAAAAAATATTTTAAATAATTTAATACATATATATTTAATAAATATATTTCACTGGTTTCTTAATTGAGATAAAAAAATAATTTAATACATATATGTTTAATAAATATATTTCATATATATACAAAGAGTGTAGCAGTGTATGAGCAAAGCCACAGAATATCTTAGCTTTTCTCATCAAAAGACAAAAATTAAACATGATGCTGCATGGCATTAGCATACGAGGGAAGCAGTAGCCTATAAATAATTGAACCATCTTCTACAAAACATTTTTTGATCTGGACTGCCCTCTCTAATCATGAGCTCCTTAAACCGGTATCTTCATGACTGAGATGTGACCTTCGACTCAAGGGGAGCAAACATTGACACTTGTCATTATGCACAATTTATGAGTGGAGAGTGCTGGGATCCAAATCAAAACACAGCAGCGCTGCTAGCATTTCTTTATTAATCAATTTCCTCTGCAGACATGTTTTGCACTACATCTTAAAAAGGAACCAACCCCAAAGAAAATTAAAGATGATGACAGTGTCACCTTCAAGTAAAAAAAGAAGAAATCCAGTCTGGCCCTGACACATCGACAATTCAAATGGATCTCACTAGTTGAAATATTTTCAAGTTAGATTACATTTAATGAGGCACATGGAAAGAAAACAAAAAATCTGACAAACAGAATTATATGAAATTGACTTAATATGAAATTATCTAATAAGGGGCAGTAGTGGCTTGGTGGTTGAGGAAGCAAACGTGTTGCAAGTTCAAACCCACCATCCACCAGGTTCCACTGAGGTGCACTTAGCAAGGCACTGTTCTCCAACATGTACTCAGCTTGAGCTGCCCACTGCTCACTAACATGATAGGTTAAAGGCAATGACAATAAATCACTTTTACTTTCACTAAACTATGTTGACCCCATCATAAGATAAAAGTCATCCCTCTCACTGAAAACTAGTGGTCTCCAATTAGTATATGAATTTTAACAACGCTTTTCAAAGTGTCTGATCAATTATTTACTAAACATGGCTGAGGCAGACCTTGATAAAACCATGAGTTGAACATATAATATGGAAGATGTGTCGACATCTGACTCTGAATGCATCTGTATGTAGGCACGCATGCCTGTATACGAGGTGGGAGTAGGGCAAAAGGGCGATCAGGATCATTTCAACCGTCCTTTGAAGCTAACGATGAAATTAAGCAGCATGGTGTCTTGAAATAGGTGTTCCGTCTCTTTCTAGCCATTGGCTGTCATTAGCCAATCCACTGACGAATGTTCAGTCAGAACTCTCATCAAAAGAGATGCTGCTTAAGAAGCATTGAATATGTGTTTGATGATGCCTGAATTATTCATTTTGAGCCTACACTCTGAACACCACGGAGTAACCGTGGCAAGGAGAAGTGGAGAAATTCTGACAGATATTAATTATATTAGCCTGATCTTGTAGGAACGTTTGCTCTCCGACAGTTGAGACCGTTTGTGGTTAATGGCTGTCCTGAAGTAAATCTTGCCTGAGACTTAGCACATCAATGGCATTCTAATGTCACTGCTTAAATGGTACACTGCACATGTAAAGATCCTTACTGGAAAGACAGAATAACTGATGTTCTGTTCCAGAGAGGACCACCAAGTACGGTCTTCATGTCAGCTTTTTGCACAGCAACAGAAGCCGTCAGGGTGAGACGTTTTTAAAAGGAAACATTTGGGCCTGTGAGGTGGGATAACATTTTTTTTTCTTAAGAGTTACAGTGACACAGATGAAGGTCACTAAAATAAATGGATAAATAAATAATGTATTGAATTATGACAACATTACATTTAATCTACAGGGAATAAAAGTCAATTATTAAGTGCAATATTATGCACAAAGAACAAAGAATGTTCAAAATTGCAACCATGTGTGTATGTGTGTGTATAAACATTTTAAAGCCAATAGTGTCAACATGATTTGACAGAATAGTGTGTCATCTGTAATTGTTTTCATTAATAAATTCTCAAAGTCAAACAAATATATTTTAAGTTACTGGGAGAATCATTCAGTGGTTCATAGTTTTTTTACTTGATGCCCCAAAACTGGTTGATCTAAATATAAACAGTTCACAAATGTTGTTAAATTCAAACAGCACAGTGTAAAAGTGTAAAAGATAATCCAAATATTAAAGTGTTCTGACCCCTGAAGCCACAGGTGTTTTTTCTGTAGTTTCTGCAAACACAGAACACTACATGCAGATTCCAGCAGCATGACAGAAAGTTAATATGTTCACATTGTTCACAAAAGAAAAAGGAAAACACAACTAAATGTCACAGCTGCTACTAACCTGTACATATGTAAATATGTGTCCTGTTCTATTTAGACATGCTATTAGGCACCACCTGGTGGTGAATATGCAAACACAGCCTCCCTTACATACAGTACTGGCTTCCAGAGTGAAGATGAAAGGTTCTCATATTTGCTCATAAGCACTCCCTGTATATCCATTTATATTTATCTGAACCAATAAAAAATAAAAAGGGGGTTTATTCAAATAGGAGATATAATTGCTGCACATTATTTATTGTGTTTGTTTTCTGTTTACAAAAAGACTCAATTACATTCATATAATTGTAGGGAGAGGAAATAATTAAAATATTTCACAAGGATCTGTATGCAGCTAATAAAAAAAATGTTAATTTCTTGTGTCAGAAAAGTGAAGGAGAGAAATATTAGTAGAAAAATCAGGTTTAGATAAAGAACTTCATCAACCAAATTAAATCCTATTTTTATATATGAGATAATACTCAAGGTTTTTGCAGATAAAGAAAAAAATGTCATAAAAGTAATTTCTTTTTTAAAATCACTTTAAAACGGGAGTATTTATTCTGAAGCTTGAAGACAGTTAACATGAATGAATGTGCTGACAGATCATTTACATAGCAGCACAGGGTTTATATAGCTCTATGACATATTTTCAATTAAAAATATATTTTTTTTCAAGTTAATATATATTTACTGGTGCAATGTCTGTAAAAAACATTTTAAAAATAATTATTACAAAGGTCTGTTTGTGGTGCAGTTGCTGTACAGTGCTTCACTTAATATTTGTCCATCAAATCGTTTGGTCATGGAATACATAACAAGAAAGTCATAGTGTACAGGCGGAGCAGGTGGATATAAAACGCATACTACAACCAGACAAAGCAAAACAGCGACGAGTGTGTGCTTACCTGACATTGCATCAACTCGTCTGATAAACTCTTCACTTGCTCCTGTAAACCAAGGACCCGGCTGTCGTTGTCACTGTCTTTGAACGACATTGCAAGGCTGAAAGTAAAGCAAAACTAAATGTAACTACACTTGAACGCATCATATGATGTCAAACTAATACAACTATTTACAAGGATTACGGTAAGCAGACTCAGACCAAACAACGAATTAGTGGAAAGTTTCCTTGATAAACGAACACACTATAACTCTATTACCTGTTTTAGCTGCTGAAGAAACACAATGTTATGCCAAACGATGCAACTAGAAGAGAACGCCGCATATGCTAACTTTGCTAACTTTAGCCACCTAACAAACATTTATTCTGTCATTTCCTATTTGCTGTACAGTGCCTCGTCCTTGTGTCGAACAACTTCATGACATTCTTCTTATACAACGCATAACAACCCAATGTTACCGGATCGTTCAACAATATATATTTAAATAAAGACAGAACAGATTTTGCTAGTGGACATACACTGTTGTCAATAACTACCCGTTTCCTGTTTTAAACAGGCCCGCTGTTTTCACTTTGACGTCATTTCACGACAGGAAGTGCTTCTTTACGGCACTTTCATTCCCAGTTATTTTTCACATCAGAATAAATCTTTCTGTTTTGAAATTGGAACCACGGAGACTATTTTATACCTGAGAAAATTAAGTGTACCATTGATTTATTTAAATGTAATGGAAGAAACTTAAAATAACCTTGATCACTTTGTTTCATTTTAATAAACTAAATAGATTTGTTGAATAGTCCTCAACTCTGAATAGTCCTTCAACTCTCCCTTGAAGTTAAGATATGCTTAAAATTAATCCTACACAACTTTAATCTTGACACTGTGTCACATTTAGCTGTGTAAAACATTCAAAGCAGGTTAGTTGCAATTTTTCAGTACTGGACAATAGGGGTTATGGATTATAATGGATAATAAAACTCATACATGAAAATAAAAACTTGAGTTTAAATAAATAATTACTCTTTACTACAAGATGAACAGTAATGACTTGAATCCAAGGACTCCATGAAGACATTTATTAAATTAAACTCTTGCTTATTTTTCTTGACATTTTTTTCATATTAAGAATTCCATCATTTGGATCATACGATCATACATAAAGACAAGTTTCTGCTCCAGAATTACACACAACAAAAATCAATATTTTTATCATATGTAGGAATTTACTGACATATTAATGATTAATCATGATTAAACCAGAGCTGGCTTGGGGTTTTAATCCTTTGATAACCTTAATCTTCTTTGTTTTAGGCAATCAATGTTATATTGATTGTGTATTGAAATTGTTTTTTAAAATAAATACTAAACGTTTTAAAGCTATCAGGAACAATTTAATGGCGTGGATGATGATGTAGAGCTGACTTTGCCTTTATTTAATATGTTTATCCCAAAAACGTGATAACTTATTACAAAAGGGATTTAAGAGCTTGATAGATGGACAGAAAAATAAACAAAAAAGTATATATCATTTGACATCTGTTATGCTGATGAGACAAGTCCACACAGTGTGGCTGATGTACTTAAATGTCCAGCCAGATCTGGAGTAGAGGGTAGAGCAGAGAGATGAAGAAATATTAGGACTGGCACTCTGTTGCGGTCAAACAAATGTTGGTTCTTCTGTCCATTGGCTCTCTTTTTATATCTGTCTCTCAAACACACACATACATACACACAAACCCACACCCACACACAGACTCACAGAAAAGAGAAAGATGGGCAAACAAAAATGTCCAAGTATGATTAAGTTGTTTTCCTCTGTTTCTTGTTCTGACACAAACCTTAATGACATTCTAAAAAATCTAAAGCAAGAAAGCAAGAGGGAAAACAAGTCTCAACATTAAATTGCTGATCCTGGTGAGGTGGATGTAGATAGCACCAGTCTGAGCAGTCTGCTGCTTTCTTTTCACGTTCTTTGCTGTGAATTTTTAAAAGACTCTGACATGACTCTGGTATTTGAAGCTTCTCTCCCTCCGTAGACCTGCTGAAGTCTCTGACGCTGCTCTCGAGCTGATTCCTTGGTAAGGCCCTGATGTTGCAGAGCAGTTTGTTCAGCCTGCTTTGATTCCTGCAACACATAGGAACCACATTTTCCAAATGAAGGAGAGAGGAAATCATTATAATTAAATTGTTCTCATGCTTATAAAGTTTTCACATCAAGGATAGGTTGTTGGGTTTCTTTTTAAGTCTCAGGCATGTCCTGTGGTACAGTGGGTGTTGTCTCTTTTTCTTTTTTCACTTTGGATTACAGCAGGTATGCTAAAGTGCTGCCGATTGACAGAGGATGCTGGGACCTACTGTATTCTTTGGCTGGCCTTATTTGCCCTTGCGTCAATTGCTGAATCAGTCAGTCACTATTATGTATTCAGTAGCCAAACAATTAACACTCATCACTCACACTCAACACTCATTTCTAAAGAAGCAATCAGGCAAATGTTTAAATACTGTATATTCACAATTCCAATGACACAAATGCAACACATTGTAATGGAAACTCTGCCAGCAGTTGCAACTCAGTAGGATAAGGACATAAGAGGTCCATTGTTACCCCAACTCTAAGTCCTAGTCTTCAATTTGTTTCGTTGATAAATAAAGATACTCATCAAAGAGCAATAATAAGACAGTCCATGTTCAGATTGAGGATTCTCACTTTAACTTTGTAATGAACCTGACTTGTTACTTGTATTATTACTAGGGGTGGCTCAGAGATCGAACTCTTTCATGTTCAATACTGCAGTATATGCTGATACGAATATCAATCTGATATCTTCCTTTCTCCTCCAGCATGTCACAACTGAGCCTGGTATTGAAGACTAGGTGACAAATCTCTCTCGCTGTTAAGGTTGGTATCCTACGACTAGGCCACTTTAGCTACCACCTTAAATTGTCTAACGGGGTTTAAACACAATACCCCACTCCCTGTATCCCTGGAATCTCCCCTCACTCAGACATGATGCAGTGAATGTAAACACTACATTAGCAAATCGAATCAGATCCTTATTTAATCTTACGGGTCTCTGGTGTCTAACCGAAATGTCATGTGACACCCTTAGAAAGTAAGCTTCTGCACTCATGATTTCAGTAACCATGCCTGTTTCACTCTTGCTTTGCTTCAACGCAGTCACTGGAAAGATTAGGCGACACCGAGTTTTGATCATGCAAATGTACATGCATGAAAAATTCAACAAGCAAACGACAGTCCCTGGTGTGTCTGCGCTGACAAAGGAACAAAGAGAAGAAATCATGACACTCCAGAGAGAATTGTGAAAACACATTCTCCGCCTGCTGCCTCAGGTAAGCAGCTTTGATTCTGAGGGAGGAGTCTGAGAGGTGCAGAGATGACAATAGATACTAAAGTGCCACAAGTCCCCAGCTTTAAAGAAACATTGACTGTACAAATACCAGGTGGGATGTTGAACCTGCACAATGTTTAGTAGAACATCAATTCCCCTGCATAGAAATTAGGCTCCAAGCGTTGGAGTCTTTGGGTGCAGCTGCTTTGTAGCGTTGTTGATGTCTGTATTTACCCTGCGTGCCATGTGTTTCTTAACGAATGCGACGGTGTGAAGACTGTGGGATGATGATTACATAGTCAAGGGAAGTGTGAGGATGGAGCATAGGGAGAAGGGGCTTTTAAAATCAGATTATATACTTTTATGCATGTAGGGCCAGAAATTGTTATGACCAAGGCTATAGAAGAACATGCAGCCGACACTATGTTCCTACCTCAAGCATGAATTTCCCTCATGCTGCATCCTGTGAGACCGTGTGAGACCAGCTTCACAAACCCCAGGACAAAGAAGCCATTGACTGTGTCTTCAGTTTTGTAACCTTGGCCTTTGTGCAATAATTGTCCACTTAAATCGCACAAATTTTTACTTACCACTAAAGCGACACTCTAACACATCATGTGAATTACTCCTCTCCCCCTTCTCACCCTAGACCACAATATGCCCATTCTGGACAGTGCCACTTGTTTGCTCAACCCTAGACCTCATTAGACAGCGTGGGCCTCACGTTGTCATCCATCTGATGACCCTTTGTCCTATCCTTATCAAACAAGAGACTTGATAATAGTAGAATTGATCCATATGGAACCAACCTCCAAGAGACAGCAGAGCACATGCATCAGGTGGCTCCATGGTGCCATAAACCTCAGGGCACACATAATTCACCTGACTTGTACACTATCTCCGCTTAAGTTCAACACCTCAGGATGTGTGGGAAAAGGACAGTCCTTTACTTGGTGAAAGGATAAATTAAGGCATTGTGTGTGTGTGTGTGGGGGGGGGGGTAAGTTCATATTTCCCTTGAGCATGTGAAGAGAGACCAAAGACATGGGACATCGATCACCTTGAGTAAATGTCGTCCACTCGGAAAACAGCCCTGAAATGAAAAAAAGAACTCGTCTTTTTCTCCAACACGTGCTTTTCTGTAAGGCAGCGTGGCTCAGAGCTTGGAATTTTAATTCAACGTAATTCAGTGACGTTTATTTTTTATGCCTTTAACTGTTTGTTTTTTTTCTCATCCATGACAAGGACAAAGAATGACATTTGTTGTAAATAATGCTTTCTTAAGACTGGTGTCATTGGTTACTATGTATATAAACTCAATTAAAGATGAGAACAAAAATCAAGTCCTGAGACCTGAGCCACAAAGAGAACTTGAATTAGAAACTGGTAACTACTAGCAACAGTAATAAATGGAAAACTGCTGGAGTGATTAACTGCTTCCTGATTGGTAAAAAAGAACGTACAATATGTGCCAGTCTTTTGAGTCTTCTGGGTTTTTGGGAAGGACCAGAATGACCTTTGTAGACCTCTCTATGGTTTGGTACAGTCTGAAACTTAATGAACAGCAGTCCCTCTGTGGATTTGAGGGAGCCAGAAGTGCGGCGCAGCAGATGATGGCCATCCCAGGAGGCAGAGCACTTCATGGAAGGTTCAATAGCTCATTATCAGTGGTCCTGCTGGGTAATTAGGGAACAGTAGGATCCCATCACTGTGACAAATAAACACGTGCTGTTTTTCCTCATCAAAGGCAGTCTGCCTTTAATGGTCTCACATGACTGTCAATAAAACAATTCAATCCTGACTTTTCTTAAAGAAATATAGCTTAATTGATATCTGACAGTCTGAGCTAAAATTAACAGTTTTCAAATCATTATATTTTTATATTTAATATAAAACAATGCAATACTGTGTTCATTAAATATTACATTTGGGCTGAATTTTAGTTTTGGTAAAAGATGAAAAATGACTTACAGCTACTGCACATTACCAACAGCAGTAATGACTTAGGGTGGGGTGATTGGGGAGGGGGTGTCATTATTGCAGCTACTACAGAAATCTTCTGAAATGTAAAAGTAAAGTCTTTCACATTCATATGCAAGTTTCAGTTGGCTGTAGTTCAGTGTTTTTCAACCTTGGGCTCGGGAACCCACCTGAGGTCACCAGGAATTGAAATGGGCTCTCCTGAAATGTCTTGTAACTGATAAAAAAAAAGATACAATATTTTTGCAATGAATTATTATTCTTTTTAAAATTATGAAAAAAACACTTTCTTATTAACTTTCATTAATATAAATGTAAAGCCAAGCTCACCTAACTGTACATACGATCAGGGAAAATACAGTCATTTTGTGCACTAATCTGCCTCCTCTGTATAACAAACATGATCAAAAACTAATTCTATAGAAAAAATGTCTCTGGGGTCACTAGAAATGTATCACAAAAAATGAGGTCAGATGCCAAGAAAGGATGGGAACCACTGATGTAGTTACGCATGAAACTGATCACATGACTAATGTTATTCCTTTATTGGTCGAGGTTATCCTTTGGATAATTATACTCATCATGATGATTGCATGTATATGATAATAAATATTTTCTTTGGTTTTTATTGTTACCTTGGTATTCAAGTCATTAAAATTTTCATATTTAAGCATGTTTTACATTACACTGGCTTCTGTTGTGTCTGATGAAAATGTATTGATTTTTATATCATTGGTCCAATTTTATTCATGTGTATTTCGGAACCATTGCTGCGGCCCTGATACAGTTCTGCACTACCAACTTTGAGTTGTCACAGTAAAAAAATGAATATTTTCAATATGTTGACACAAGCCTTCAAAGTTGTGTTTCTGTGGTCAGGAGATTTCACATGACGCACCTACATAACTCATACAAAACACTTTCTGACGCGTACATTCTGACGAATCACAGCAGCAACAAAGTACTGGAAAGAGAGAAAAATCCTTTAAAGACTTTTTGTTTTGTTGCTCAGATAAGTATGTAATATCTCATTTAATTAGCAACCTAAGCCCTCTGACAAACAGGCATATGGTCCAAGCTCTCCCACGGCCTTGAGTAAGGAATGAATATGCATATCCTGGGACCTCAGTAGCTTGTTACCCTGGAATGAATTCTACACAAGCCTAATCCCTGATCTATTATTTACCCCTTGACCAAACATGCAAGTGGGGCTTCCAGACGCTCGACTTGATAGAAATGACTGTTCAGGGATTCTGCTGCTTCCCTCAACCACAGTGGAGGAGGCAAACAGAGACAGGCAGTCACTCTGAGGAGAGCTGATGCTGTAAGTCTCTGTCTTTCCAGTATGGACTTCATAAAAAAATATACGCTGACACAAAGGCAAATACATAAAAACGTCTTTGTTTTTATGAGCACGTCTTATAAACATTAAACGTTACCTTAACGTAACCCGTAACCACTCCAAATGAATCCCTGAACTAAAACTTCACTCTAATAAAACTGTTCGACTAAAGTCGACCTGGAGATGTCTCTGTCTGATGCTGAGCAAATCCATGGTAAATTATTATAAAGAAGGCCTTGATAATATGTCTGCTGAACAATCACATCATCACATCTGAAGGATACAACTTTAAAAAAGCAATGCCACATTTTTGAAGACCTCGGAAAGTGTGTTTAAATGTGTGTGTGTGTGTTCAGTGGTTTGAGACAGAAAATGTCGTCAAAAAGTGAAACTTTGCTCAAGTTCATGCTGTGATTCCAGGATGAGGAGACAGTAGAAACAGGAACAAGAATTCAAAGAAAAACAGGAGACTGTCCTGTGGTGTGAATTACTGTCGGTGGTCCATAATTTAACAGGTAAGTGTAAAGAATAAAAACACATTTGCGTTAAATATAAAAAGCGGTGTTCCATGTAACCAGTGCTCCGCTGTGTGTCGTCTTATCTCGGATTGGGGGCTCTGGCACAAACGGATGTTACTTTTGGTTAAAAGCAGCGTCTTTGACCCAAAGTCACCCAGGTTGCTGACACGCACACGCACACACACGCACACGCACGCACACAAAGACACCCTCTTTTACACACGCGGTGTGAAAAAGCACCAGTCTGGGCCAACATTAACACGGCAGCAGCAGCAGCAGCAGCAGCAGCCTCTCTCCAGCCCGGACTGTCCGCTGCTCTCCCCGCGCACTGCGCTGACTCTGCAGAAGAAATCACTGGGGGAGTGAGAGGACGGCGTTTGTTGCGTTTTCCTATAGGTAGAAGAAGCAGTTACAGCCCCGGCTTCTGGATGTCAGCTTCCCCTGCTGTCTCTCTTCCAGGTTTGAGTGTTTGCCTTGGGGAAAAAGGAGAGGGGACAGTGTCGTGATCGTGCGTCTCTTCTCTGCGCGCTGCCAAGACGCCTTGACGCGCGTATCGCTCGGCGAAGCAGTTGAAACACAGCGATTCTCCGCATCTTAAAGTACAGACTTTTTTGTCCTTGCGCATAAAAGTGTCACAGACGGCGGCGATACTTCGGAGAGAGGAAACGCTCCGCGCAAACCGTCCCAGACAGCGTGTGGCACTGAAGAGGAGAAAGTTCCCCACTTGAGGGCGAAATCAGACTTTTTTGAGGACGAGAAGTTTGAAAAGTGCCAGGAGCCCCGGGGTCTGAGAGATACAACATGCAGCAATGGTAAATATGCTCACTTCACTGACATACACACACACACACAGCAGTACAATATACTCTTGTATCGGGATTTTATAAATGACTTCTGTATCTACTGTCTTCTGTCCTTGAAGTTGCAAAAGAATTTAAAAATAAATAAATACCAGAAGAACTGATAAACCTCAAATTGCTGCTGGTTTTAGGTCACATTTTGCTAAATAGTTTATGAATAATTTATCCCTGTTGTTTTTACCTGTTTTTATTTTACATTTAGCTGCAATAAAAAATAAAAATGGCCAGGGCCTTAATATGCAAAGAAGAGTCACAGCCTTTTACAGGAGCTATAGTTTATCCTGTGTCATCATGTCCTCAAACATCTCATGGAATAATTAATACGTCACTTGTTTTTCCACATAAAACCCAGTTCTGAGCCTGCCCCAGGTTTGGTGAACTTTAGGCCATTCTGACTGGATAGTTATTGTAACTCTCCTGCCATGACAGAAGAATTGATGTATCATCATATTTTTTGCTTCGTACAAATTTTTCCAAGATGTGTTTATGTAAGAAAAATCTAATCTAATATCATGTTCATGTAGAACTACTACTACTATTTAGTCTTTCATAACTTAAAACAACACAAAATATTTACACATGCATTCAGTTCATTAAACCTGTGTATTTCTGTAGCCGACACAGAAAACAGTCCCTTTACTTAGTGATGTCTGTGCAATTGTAGCTGTGAGTAATTTTGTAAATTGTTCTCTATTCAAATAGGTATGTGTAGCCTTCCCTCGTAGTGTCACACATTTACATTTAAAATCTTAAAACAAACGGAAGGAGAGGGAATCAAACAAAGGTCCGATTTTTGCCGAGCCTCTTCAGCTCAGACGTGTGTGAGTGCTTCAGGGGATGCAAACCACAAATTAGGATTAATGGCACAACTTTCAAGTGCTCTTTTCAGCGCTTTGAATGCTGATACGTGGGTAGGATTAATGACCAGCAAGGTATTTTTTGCCTGTTTCTGTGTCGTTGCTGCTAATGTAAAGGATTTAATCTGAATTTCTCAGACAAAACTCACAGACATAAAAAATGGAAACTAGGGAAGGGGGGAAGAGATGTCCTCGTCCAGAGCCGATGCTCTGGTGAAGCCTGTGGCACGGCTACGTGAGGTTAAAGAAAAAGTTAAAGTTGTCAGTGAGGCTGCAGCAGGGTCGTGATTCCTCTGGGGCTTTAGGAATCAGAGAGGGGAAAGTGCGTGAGAGTGTGTGCACATAGGGTGGGAGCCACTGGTTAGTCGGTTCAATAATCTGTTGGACAGGTAGGCCAGTGACGCCCTCCTTCGAGAGGCTGCTAATGAAGAGAAGCGCTGCTTAGTGCTGCTCTGCTCTGACCCTCACCAACCCTGCCTGTCCCCCCTGCTGCTTCCCCCTGATTACTGCTCACATGGAGAACTCTTTTCCCTTTTCATTCTCTACTCCATTTACTCAGTTTCTTCTTCTTTCTCCCTCTACGTCCCACACGTTTGAAGAGAATAGGTATCAGTTGCATCTACAGTCTACTGTTTTCATTTGCTTGTAATTATTTTCAGTACGTGAATTACTCTAAACTTTTTTTTACTTTTTTCTGCACAGTTTCAGATCTGATGACATCAACTGTAAATTAAATATTTTTAACCCCAGTTAAATTATTTCTTAGGCCCAATGAGAAAAAATATCTAAATTACACAACAAAAAATTGATTTGTCAGAGTGCCAGAATTTTTATGGACAGACACTAAATAAAAATCACGATTTTATCTAACATTATTATTTGATGTTTATTTTGGAATTCATCCATATTGGACAGTTAGCTGGGCTGGATTTGACCCACAGGCTGCCAGGTGTTGATCACTGCTCTAAAGCCTTCATTCCATGTTTAGTAATTCAACTGAACCTTTAAATAAAAGATGAAAAAGCCCTTTACTGTTAAACATCGCAACTGACAGAGGGTCACAAACAACCCAGATGAAATAGATCATCACACCTGGAACACACAGCAGAAGAGTTAGAACAAAATAGTTTGATAGTTTGATTTAGCAACTTTTCTGGAATTAAAGAACATGTAAAAGAAATGCAAATGACTTGTAGTATTGTTGTTTTTGGATCGCTCTCCACTTATTAGCTCATAGGTCACACATTTAAAATGAACTGAAATGAAAAAAAAGAAACACTTTCTAATTTTTGTTTTTAAATAAATAAATAAAGCAGCAGGTAATATTGGGGTTTATCAAAACAGCGGGGGTCTCAAACCCATATGAGTTGGGGGGCCACTACTGCCACCATCATCCTATTGTAGGATCACACCAGTATTTTAAAAAACTAGGGATGGCTTGATCTGATACTCTGGAATGGTATTGGTCTGATATTGGTCAAAACTTCAGGATCAAAGATTGGAGAAAAAAAAAAAACTTTAACCAGTCTGAGTGTACCGACATTCACACCAAGGATGTGAAGCTGCAGCTGACTCAGAGCCAGACTGTGCTAGATTGTCCTTTTGAAAACAGGACACTGTCATTGACAGTTTATACACTATAATTTCTCGTATTCAAATTCTGGTGCGGTTCATACGTTGCAAACTGAAATAAATAGATTGGATTTTAAGGTGTGTCTTCTGTAATCCAAGCTGTGATGTCAACAGTCACTGAACAGTGACAACTTAATTAAGGCCGCTGTGTGAGACTAATTACTAATTCAAATCAGTACGAAAAGTCATATGAACAGCATACGATTTTTTTTTTGTAATTCAGCACCAAAGTTATAAACCAAGTCACATTCTGAAACCTGGTCTGATTGTATGTCGTGTAGTCGGTAACAAGAAGCAGAGTTTACTGTTGTTTTGATGTGTGCACTCATGGTGAGGTCTGCTCCTCTCTTATTACACAGAGAGATACGTCTGAAATGTATTCTTCCTAATGATAGTAATGTGCCTGCGCGAGAAAAGATACATCAAACTCAGGACTGGTGAGTTGATTAGAATATAAATGTGGCTGAGAGCTGTAAGCCCTGTTTAAACTGTAAGTCGAAGCCTCTACTTACATGTGTTAAAATTGTTTTTGTGTCTCCTGTTCTTCTGCTGGCTTCATTTCACATGCTAATCCAAACACCATATTCATATTCCTCAAGGAAGGAATCAGGAAAACTTTGGTCTCAGAACATGAACACACCCAGTGTGTGCAGAAGCCACATACTCCCTCCGTCTGTATTTGTTTTAAATGAAAAACGATAAAACACATTTTGCAGAGCTCAGCCTTTACTCCTGCACCCCTGACACATTTTTCTGTCTTTGTAGACAGGCTATGATTCCAGCATTTTCAGCTCAAGTCTTGGGTGGCCTTAATTGATTCTGCCCAGAAGTGCAGTAATGACTGGTAACTGCATAAAATAAACACTTCAGTGTCACAGAGTGGCAACAGTCTGATCGGGAGGGAAATTACATTTCACTTGTAATCCATATGTTCTTCGGCAGGGCAAGAATATAATTCATGTCAACGCCGTAGAAACAGCAGTGACGGCGAGCCTATGTAACAAACAGGAGTATAGTTGTAACCAAATGGCTCAGTTGGGAGGTATAAGGTTATGTGGTATAATTTATATTTTATAGCTCCCCTCTGCACTGACTGTACTCCAGAATAAAGTTGTTCAGTTTTGTTCCGTGAACAGTGAGTGAGAAAATCTAAGGTTTCACTGGTGATGGAAACTCCAGACGCCACTTTGTTCCTCACTTTTTCATTTCTTTTTTCTCCCCGTTGAGTATTATTTTTTGCTTTCAGGTAAAAGGACACCAAAGCTCCACTGTCTCAGTGTAGAGTGTGTGCTTTATGATGTTCTGTATTTGTTTAGATTAATTAGTGGCCCTTGACCTAGTGAAAGTATATAAAGATCTCCCAGGGCCGTGGAGAGTCGTTTGATTAATTCACCCTAAAGGTTTTAATTTGTTGCTGCCAAAATGCTGAGGAGAGAAACCTGATATGACAAGATAAGTGGTGGCTCATGAAAAATTCCCATTGATAGAGATGTGGTGTGTTGACTTTGGAATTATTGTCTTGAGTGTCTGCTTTTTTTGTATTAACTGTACTGACAGTGTTGTTTTTTACATGAACCACCTTTGGAATAATACCTCTGGTTCTCCACCAAAGAATTCGCTCATTTAAAATCTGTTTATGTACCGTCCACGGAATGGACTTCACACTCTCGGAGGCCGACTGCACACATAAGAAGTGGAAGAGTATCGCTTACTGTAACTCCACACGGTTTCATAAAAGCGGTGTGTGTCTGTACGGGTCGTAAATTTAAGCGGTTCAACAAATGTCAAAAAACAATTAAGCAGTGTCAGTTTTCAACTACAATTTAGCAACGTGATAAAACAAAGGGACGCCTCGTTTGAGGATACCTGATGAAACCAGTGCAATTTAGATTATTTCACAGTATTTATGATGAGATTTTGTCATTTCTGAATTAAAAGCATATTTGAAGCACACATTAGACATTGGCAGATATATTAACAAGGACTCAAAATGTAAATACAACTAAATCAAATATAGATCACACTTAGATCTTAAGCATCTTAGTCTACTGAGCAGCCCTCAAGGTTGCTGTCATTGATGGTGCGGTCCTTCAACAATGCCATACAACATGGCACTGTGCATTGATGGCACATTTGAAGTCCAACCCTGTGATTTTGGGTGAGAAGGGTGCGTTTACGGTGATAATTATAGCAATTAAACAGTCTGGGAAGTTGTGTTTCTTGGTACCTTTGTTAACTTTCCCGTTGTTAGGGAACTCAAAGCTCATAAACATGGTGAGAATGTCACAACTGTAAGTGTGTATGTGTGTGTGTTTCTCTGTACTTGTGATTCTGCTGGTTTGCCTCTGCATGATTTTGTGGCCTTACGGAGGCTTTCGCAAAATCTGCTGACAGGTAGTGTGTCAGGCCGGGGACAGTGGTGCTTTTGAGACAGACACAAGAGACTAGTCTCAGAGAGAGGCA